GGGGGGGGGGAGTAAATTCCTGTACGTGATAAGAAAGCTGGATTGGATTATAGTTTTCTTTAAGATGAACGTGACTCTCTTGAACATTAGGTTCTATATTCTCAAATTAATGTTCAACAAATAAATGCAAAAACACATTAAACATATCAAATCTCCTTTTATGTTCATTCCTCTCATTCATCATTTTTTAAACTCTATTTAAAGGGACTGTAAGCGTAATTTCAAAGGACAATACCCAATTTAAAACGGTACCCTTTGTGGAAGATACCGTCGTTTTTTTGTAAATCGGGCATTGCAATCTTTGCATGGAGGGTTACTTGAGATACGCTTACAGTCCCTCTAACTACTACTTCATTCTTATCCTGCTCCCTTCTTTTTACCATTAATTTTTCTTCTCTTTAACTACCTTTTCTTTCTTCCTTTGCCTTTTTTAGTTGTAGTTGTAGTTGTAGTTGTAGTTGTAGTTGTAGATGTAGTTGTAGTTGTAGTTGTAGTTGTAGTTGTAGTTGTAGTTGTAGTTGTAGTTGTAGTTGTAGTTGTAGTTGTAGTTGTAGTTGTAACAGGCGGGTCAGTACACTAGTGCAGGTTGTACAGTACACCAGTTTAGTTGTACAGGTGGGTCGGTACGCCAGTACACTAGTTCCATTAAGGTGGACTAGTTCTCCAGAAGTTTGTATGTGGCGTGACAGGCTTGACTTATAGTAGACTACAAATAAATTGCTAAACTGTATCGCTCTTAACATAATGACGGACATTTTTCGTTCCAAACCAATTTAGCACTTGTTAATTATTTAGTTATCTATCTTTTAATCTATCTAGCTTTATTATGTTTGATTATCTATAGCTATCTTTATGTTAATACTTTTTTTCTAATTCAATATCTATTACTTTATCAATCAATCAAAAAAAATGGTTATTTTATTCTGGCTATATATCTATCTATCTATCTATCTATCTATCTATCTATCTATCGACTTATCTATCCTGTTCTAGTTATATCAATATATCTATTGATCTATTTTACAAGCTCTGTCTATTTAAACTCCCCCTATATACAGGTGAAATGACTGTATAATGCTTTACATATGTGCAAAACTAGAAAGGGGAAGGGCGACAATGAAGGAGGGGAGGGGGGGGGAGGGGGGATTGGGTAAATAACAACAATTCAAAAATTTTTTTGTAAGCTATATGCAATTTGCATTATTATGCATTGAGTAGCATTCATAATATTTAGAAAATCATGTGAAAAACACAATTTTAAACTTATCTTTTTTTATCATTTAAATAATCCCCGTAAACCTAAATTTTACCATCTGTATTTCTAAACATATGTTTTTAAAATTGTATCCTATACATGAAAATAATAATTTGTGAAAAGTTCATGAATCATGAATGTTTATCGTTGGATTGGCACCTGTACATTAAATATTGCTATTGTTAAAAACTGGAATCGTCATGTTTAATTAAAGGGACTGTAAAGGAAAAATGAAAGGGGGGTATAGGATGAAACTTGAGAATCTCAGACGTTGAAGATACCCATAAGACACCTATCTGATGTTTCTGTCATGAGAAATATGATATAAAACTGTGTAAAAATCTCAGATTGGCTCCTATTATAATTTAAATTTTCTATTTTGCATTTATAATAAATATAATTGATAATATTATTACATATGTATAGTCCGTATTCCGTCACCATAACTTCAGTCAATGGCGGTGCAGTATACTGGTCACGTGATATAGACGGAAATCACGTGACCAGTATACTGCACTGCCATTGGCTGAAGTTCTGGTGGCGTAATACGGACTAAATAAAATAATATTATCAATTATATCTATTAAAAATGCAAAATTAAAAAAAAAATTATAAGAGAAGAAAACCTGAGATTCTCAGGCTCCTGTGGGATATAATCGTTCTCAGATTGATTGCATATTTGCTGAATATGATCTGAGCTGAAAACTTTTGAATGGTGGATTTCGGGATTAATGCTTAATCCACTCTTTTTCTTAATCTCGAGATTAAATATTGCTTGTTCTCCTCTAATTTTTAATCTCCAGATTAATTATCCGATCAGGATTAAGGATATCCCATTCTAAAGTTTTCAGCTCTGTTTAAATTTCTACATTTATACAAAATTGTGTATAAATGAATTTTCGAATAAACTTGACACATTTTTATATCAATTTATCGAGACAGGAACATCAGATAGATGTCCTATATGTATCGTTCAACGCCTGAGATTCTCAGGTCTCATCCTATACCCCCTTTAATTTTTCGTTTACAGTCCCTTTAAATGGAATACTCGCAACTTGGTCGTAAATCACGAGTTTAGCTATTTTTCCTTTTTAGAGTTGACCCCCTACACTAAGAATCTAAAAACCAAACTAAGAACATTTCCGTGGTTTCCAATTAAAATTTAATGCAAATCGGTCAAGGGGTTCATGAGTTATGATCGGATATGCAAACAGACAGACAAAAAAACCAGAGATTACAACTTTCTATATATAGAGATTCTTTGATGAATTTTTTCAAGCTCTAAGTTGCCAATTTTTGAATTTGGGTAACTTAAATTGGTTTAAATGAGTAAGTATACATTTTGTGTATCTATAAAAAATATAACACAAAAGATACAAAATAAAGTTTTACAGACTGAAATATTCTTTTAAAAACTTCAAAATTACAGGTTGTGGGAATATTTCCCCCAATTCTAAAATGACACATTTTATTTTTTACACCTTAAATTGATTGATATTAATGAATAATTTGTGTTATTTCCTGTTGAAATATTTCCCTTAAATTGTTATTTCTATTTATGCAAAAATATGTCACATTGAATTGAACCCCCCTCCCTTTTCATTAGTTGTTTATCAACAATTTTTTAACTGAGAAATCGAAATCTGCAAAAACATGAATATCTATCTTTCATCATGAGTAGATTTAGATTTAGTACACCAAAAACTCCCATATCTTCGTTTACCAAAAGTGTACTGCAGTTTCTTTGTTGGATATAAACCGACACATTGCTGTGCTTAAACTTCTTATATTTCCTCCTAGAAAATAGCTGCTCACTTCAGCTATTTTGCTAACAAAATAGTTGCAGTGAGCTATTGTGTTAACAAAAATATGTTGTTTCTCAAGAATGTCACTGTTAACTCCGGTTTATGTCCAGTACCAAACCGACTTTAACCAACTAAAGCAGGCCACTACAATGACAGACTATGCAAGGCAGAACGGGACAGTACGCCAAATAAATGATTCCCTCATTGTGAAATTTATATGATGTGCTCATATCTTGTGTGCTTACAAATGAAAACTCACACATTTCTAAAAATATTGAAAATCCGCCAAAGCAAACTGACACCACACGCTATAAGAAAACATTGCACTGTTTTTAGATTTTAATAAATGAATTTCAAATTCCTCATATATATTATATAAAATATACACGCTTTATAATCTTTTAATATTATTTAAGATATTACTTTACTGAACTCGTACATATTAAAAAACAATTGATATGATTAAACTTCAGCGTCTGAATTACAGACTATAAATTAAATAAAACTTTTCCCTCCATTAATTATATTTCTTAACATTTTCCTAACGTTTGCCTCCTTGAGTTAAAAATAATAAAACAACATTTTTAATCAGAACAAATATAAGTTTATTATACAAAATATAATATTTACAAATTATTGATATGTTCAAATCTTTGGTTTCTTCAGCTGCATGTACTGTACAATTCTGTACATAAACATAGATAAATAATGGTGTACACTGTGCACACTTCTAAGATAGCTGCCTAATGGATGGCTTTAATACTGTACAACGTTTTTATAACATTTTTGACTAGATTTCACTAAAATGCCGTTTACAGAGATCAACGGTTTTATTCTCCACAAAGTCGACATGGACTATAAGTCGACAAGACGATGGCATTATCGACAAATGTCCTAGACCGCGACTCCCTTGTTAGCGTCGGCCCTGATCTTGATGAACAAGGTGTTATCCTTCACATAGTTCCTCATCCCTAACATACCATGGGGAACAAACCTCGGGAACCCGAACCCAAGCTGCTCCGGGTCCTCAACTTTACTGCTCCGGGCGAAGTTTGTCCAGGACGGATCTGGGATAAATGACTCCACGATGTTGACGGCACTCTGCCTGTCCGGGTTCTGGTCCAGCAGGGTAAAGGAGATGGTGTGCTTGAACGGCCATTTTAGGATGTTGTCAAACTCTCCAGGTAGTACCTTGATATACACGGACATATGGGTTCCTTCTCCTCCTCCGTTACCGCCCAGGAACAGTGAGGCTTGTAATCTATACCCGGAGCTGGATGTATAGAAGGGCAGAGAGACAAGCTCTAATCCTTCACTAGTTTTTGCCTCCGCCATTTTCTCCTCAAAATCTTGAATTTTCCAGATTAGAACTCCGTCCTTGGGTAAATTCGCTTTCTCCAGCTCCTGCTTTAATCTATGAATATATTGCTGCTGGGAGCTGCAATATTTCACCATCATATCTAGATGCTGCTCCCTGGTATCCAGCATATGTTGCTCTAGAACTGAAGGATGTCCCTGCCAGGAGCATCCAGCAACCTTGTGTGGACAGCTCTCTAGTCCCTCCTGACATCTCACTAGATGTCTCTCAACCTCCTCCCGTCGACAATTCTCTCCGCATCTATTGGGACATGGGACTGGAAACATGGGACACTTGATCTGATGTCCCTGTAGCGTATCCGCGGTGTATCCTCTCCCACAGTACTTGCAGTTAACCAACCTCTTGCTGCAGTTGTTCACCATGTGCGCCTTCAACCTGTTCCTAGCTATCCTCTGTCCACACTTGTTTTCACAATACAGAGGCTCAAACCCGCATATATTTTGATGCGGCTCAATTTCACTTCCGGTAAACCCACGCTTGCAAAACACACAATTTATCAATCTATTCTGACAAGTGTACTTCATATGATCTTCCATATTCACACGAGCAATCTTTGCTCCACAGTTGTTCAAGCAAAACATAGCGTCCTTCTTACATGTGTTAAGATGGCCTTTTAGCCGGCCAAGTTGACCCATCCAGGCACAACCCTCGGCCCTGTGTATACAGTAAACTGTAGATTGGAGGATTTTTGCTTTGGTGACAGGATCACTGGAAAGTTCAAGGGAGGAGTTGGAGCTGGTTTTAGAATACAGGGTGTCGTTGTGTATATTAAAAACCATTTGTTGAACATCTGCCACCTCCTCATAGTCAGGCGGACTCTCAGATCCGTCACTGTAATGGTAATCAAGATCCGCCACGGCGGAATCCTCTGCAAGAGAGAGAAACTCAAAAGATCGTGCTGCAATCATCCTGCGCCTACTCTAGCGACCTACTGGAGCTAAGGACGGGACGTAACTGAAGAGTTTTACTATAATATTTAGCTTACAACTTGTTTTCGAACATTCCTGGAAAATATGAAAATGTCGTCTTCATTACCAAAAATCCTCGAAACAGGAATAAATGTAACTCTCAGATCATTACAATTAAAACATATTATGAAAAATCAACTATATATAAATGTGGCGAAAGATAATCGATGACTATAGGTTGTAATATCTGAATGATTTGTTTGAAATTAAATTGATTTTATTAGGGTCTAAGTCGTATGTTGCAATTTTCTGAATTTGTATGGACACTACGTTTTTCAGTATAAGACGTCTTTAACAATTCTCTCCTTACAGACGCAACAGATAGAAGTAAGATTAGTAGCGATCAAAAGCGCTTTTTTATCGCATTAAGCCTATACCCCCTTTCATTTTTCGCGAACACTCCCTTTAAGTTTTTAAATAGATAACGAAAATTATCAAATTCATAAGAAGAGAGAAAAATACTCGAAAATACTTACAAAAAGGATGTTTATATAAACTTTAATCTATAATTAGAGCAACTGCAAAGTTTAATGAATGAAGCATGTATGGTTGTACAGGAAGGAGGGGGGGAGGTTGTCCCAGGTAAGATATTAGTATAATTAATATGTTTGTGATCAAGCTTCAAGAAATTCCCACGAAAAATCTTTTCTGTCTACACTGTGTGTACTGTGAACTGTATAACTAACTGACAATTTTAGCAAAAAGTAGCAGTTATAAAATACCATGGGGCGCAGAAGTAACAGCAAATTCTCAGAGTTAAAGTATCCATCGATCCATTCTGGCCGGGGGCTTAAATCGTATTTCTGTTTTGTTGATATAGCGAATGAAAATAATTTTATAAATTTTATAATGATAAACTAGAGATATTATAGAGATAGAAAATAAAGATCTCATGGAAAATTTGCAGGATTTTAAAACTTCTAAAATCCAGCCTCTGATTACTTTTTGGTTTGGTAAACGGGTATTTGTAAATAGTAAACACAACATTTTTTTTACATTTCTTTCTAAGACTTCAAAAGAATTTAGGAGTTGAAATATTTGTATCTCTTGACATTGAGTTATTTTTTAGAATTACGTTTTCAAACATAATTTTTTTCAATAGGTATTCAAGACTTGGTTCAAATTTCAAATTGATAAAAATCGTCATTTTTAAATTATTAAATTGAATTAATGTGTTAAAGAAACATTCATTTAAAAATTAGAATTTTTGTGTACGCATCATCAAGTTGACGCAAAAATAGCATAGTATAAAGAAAATTATATTCTTTTAAAATAATTTTTGCTTTATTGAAAACTCACTGTGCTGCGAGTCTCTCTTTTAGTCCTAAGCCCAAAAACCGTTTTCAGATTGTTAAATGTATACATACAGTTTATATTTATATTTTTAAATAAAAATTATAAGGAGCAAAACAAATTAGATAGGATCATTTATCTCAATTTTACTTCAACACACTTATATTGCAGGGTTCTTTGATAACCAAGAGCAGAGAAAACGGACCTAAGGGGTTTCCGACCATAAATGGTTCAGATTTTAATTGATTAGATAAGGGCATGAAAGGTTATTAAAGTTATATAAAGATAAGTTGAGTTATTGTGGAAGTTTAAATAATTGATATTTCTGAAAAAATGTTGAGTAAGTGTTCATTACTTAATTTAATAATGTTGAAAACGCCTTAGATTTGTTGTCCTTAGGTCGGTTTACATATATGCATTGAAAACACTTTACAAGGAGACGTTTTAGGGAGTAAGGCAAGAGAGGGGGGGGGAGGAGATTTCAGACATGATTGGTGATATGAAGAGGAGGGGCGGGGGGTGTGGGATACCTACCATCTGTTAAAAGAGTAAAATAGTTCTTAACAAAGAAACCGATTGTTAGAATGTTATTAAATACATAATTTACCACCGATCGACTGACTTTATAAAATATTGAGAAAAAAACACTAGAATTATTTTTTAAAGAATCAATTATCAAAAAAGGGCTCGCTTGGACAAGAGAGTTGATTAAATTGATATAATTGAATCGATATAATTAAATTCAAATATTAGAATTGCTATAAAAAAAATGATTGAAAACAAACCAAGTTAATTCATAATAATTAAAGGAACTGCACGCTCGCTTCAAACTCTAAATTTCTAATTCTTATATCTTTGGAACCTTATGGTGTAAAACTTTGTAATTTTAAACTAAGACTATTTGATATAACATAGTTCAAAGGTCAAAGGATATATTAAATTGATATAACCATTAGAAAATTCGAATAGTGTATAATCTTTTTAATCTCAAATAAAATCAATTAACTATTATTTTAACCTTTTTATAGGCGCTTGCTTCTATCTGGTTGGGG